ACAAAATAGAGAACAATTTTGTAGCAGTGAAATTTCACTTACTTCACAGTGAAATTTACTAGCACGCCCAAATTATTGAATTTTGGACATCTCCTGCAAAAATTTTGCACATTGATTTGAATTTTTTGAATAATTTCATTGTTAATTTTAGACCAAATGAAGTTAATTTTCTCATTGGGTTCAGGTTTTGATCAAAATATCAGAAAACTAATTTGAAAACGTGGGTTTGTTTCGTGCTCAAAGGATAACCATGTACATGTATGATATCATTGTATCATAACTGTCTTTGCACTCTCACTGTAATGGTGATGGACAACTTAAGATTACATCAGACCAGGTTCTTCCCCATGAATCTTAATCTTACTCTTATCACTTAAGTAATTTATATCTGTAGTTCTTTAAAATTCATCAAATTGTTGAAAAGATCTGGAAAAAATTACATTTTTCACTTTCTATCTGTCTACGTAGGATCTGCACAACCAGGATTTCGCAGTGTGAGACCACCTAGCGGTGGAGCTGCAATCGGTAACAAGCCTCCTCAAACCACACCAATGTGTGAAGACTGTGATCGTGGAATTGTGTAAGTTTTTTTATTTATTACTTTTTGTGACAAAAACTTTTTGAGACAGCACTCTCATCTGTGTGCATTGTTTGATCATTAGTTCACTATTCATCATTTTTTTTTTTTTAGTTACTTCCCTGTAGTTTTAAGACAGTCATACCAATTGCTGTTGTAGTAATATATGTACTGATGTGATGTGGGAGTTTTAAAACGAGTATGTGTTCAATGTAACAGGGATGAGCATTATAAGTGCTTATTCAGACAATGTCCGAAAACTAGGAATCATGTTTTAATCTCTGTGCGTATATCTGTGTGTGCTTCTTCACCTATATCTCAGAAAGCCTTAAACTGCTCAGATTCAAACTTCATTACATACTTCATAAATCTTCGGATACATATGCATGTCCATTCGTTTTTGCAATCTGATTCAAGGTGGCCGAATGGTGGCTATTTTCGTGCTAAAACTTTATCAAAACCACCAGATCTTGGTCGTCTTTTGATAGATTTTGTTCAAATTTGGTACAATTATCAGACATTATGAGAACTTAATGAGAGTCATTTTGTATTTCTGATCAGATTGAAAATGGTCGTTTTGTTTCAACAAATGTTACTATATCTCTGATGTGCCTTGCCTTGTTGTTTTCAACTTGTTTTTATTGTGTGCTTTTCATGTTGTAAATGAATGTTATATGTCCTTCTTTGCAAAATGTCATGAATTTTTTGAGTCTATTTGCTGCTTTATTTATACTAGCCGTAAAAAGAATATAGTATTTGTGGTGTCTGATACTTTGATGTGCATATTTCTATTATTTCAGTGGACCTTTTGTCAGAGTCAAGGGCAAGAGTTACCATCCTGAGTGCTTCACCTGCAAGGCTTGCCACTGCAACCTTAAAAATCAAGGTTAGCAAACTTTTAATGCTTAAAAACTATTAATTCTTATTTGCCAATCATGCATGGTCAATGCACCAAAACGGCTTTACATGAATTTTAAAATATGAATTTGGTTTGCAAATGTTTTAAAATATGCAAATTAATTGTATACTTTATTTTGATAAAAATTGACGGGGGTAATGTTTTACCTTTTTTAAATAGGTTACTTTGAAGTTGGTGGAAAACTGTACTGTGAAAGGGATGCTCGTGAACGTGTCCAGCCACCCGAAGGAGCTGACGTGGTTTCTATGCCCGGCCGGTAAGTAAAATTCGCTTCAGATACTTGTTATGTCAATTTGGTTCAAAATTATGAAGAAAAAACGAAAGTGAAATTTTGCACCAAATTGTTTGGTAGTAAAAATTATGTGTGGCTGTTTACATTCTGCATATTACTAAGTGTGGCTGTTTACAGTCTGCATATTACTAAGTGTGGCTGTTTACAGTCTGCATATTACTAAGTGTGGCTGTTTACAGTCTGCATATTACTAAGAGTGGCTGTTTACAGTCTGCATATTACTAAGTGTGGCTGTTTACAGTCTACATATTACTAAGTGTGGCTGTTTACAGTCTGCATATTAATAAGTGTGGCTGTTTACAGTCTGCATATTAATAAGTGTGGCTGTTTACAGTCTGCATATTAATAAGTGTGGCTGTTTACAGTTTACATATTACTAAATGTGGCTGTTTACAG